AAAGAACTGCTTGTGCTAGTACAAATACTGGGGCCGCGAACCCGTCTACGTTTCATGTAGGAACGCTACGATCTGATCGGCGATGTGCAGCGTAGTCACTTCAAGTCGCCATGAGTGTTGCTATGCTGCTAATCGACGCTAAAGTAGTCGCCGATAGTCAAATCGTAGGCCGACCTGAGCGAGCCTTAACGGTAAATATTGGTAAATTTTCATACAAAATATCGGAAATTTCGGTAAATTCTCAGACTGATCATCACATAAAGAAGCTGAAATATCATTAATAGACCATTTACTCCATTTTTTTCCACTGGCCCATCGGGCTTGTTCATTTACCAGTTTCATTGGCCCCACAGAAAATTTACTGGCCTCGGATACCGGGCCAGTGGTTAATTTCGCAGACAGATAATGGAATGTTCAAATGGTCCCGCAAAACACGCGTACGTAGTTACGTGATGCAAATATTATTAGACCAAAAATTTGGAGTTACGTTTGCGAAAGTTGGGGAACTCCACACTAGCATTCTTGTCAGGAGTTAATAATATACAAATGTCTATTTGTCTATTCAAAAGACAATTAGTCTATTATTAACTCCTGATTCTTGTGCATGTGTGAGAACTATTACAAGACTGTCGACACTCGACAGTGCGGGAAAACCGCGCAGAATTCAAACAGTTATATGGCCACCTCGTTCAAATTTCTCCCTCATCAAATCTCAAAAATGCTTGCTGACACGTAAATACATGGTTAATAACAGCATCAGGACAGCGTGGAATTACAGAAAAGCTTAAATAGGAAAGCGGTAAGAGCCACCAGAAGTTGGGTATTGGTACGTTTTGTTAGTTACAAGGTTTGGTCGCTACATTTGCTTGTAACGTAACCTTCTCACCACGTAGCAAGAAGCAAGAAGGTAACTTGTGGCTACATGTATCAAAATTATTATACAGTATACAGGGGTAGAAATTAACTTTTGAACATGGGAGTCCAACCCAGGGCCATAGCCAGCTAGGTAAATTTTGTAGGAGGCAAATGTTGTGAGTTAAAGAACAAGGAGTGAAGCGAGCCAATAAGGCGTGGGGTATGGGGCCCGCTTAAGGGCCCCAGAAGAAATTTTGTAGGAGGCATTTGCCTCCTATTGCCTAATGGTAGCTACGGCCCTGGTCCAACCCCCAAAAAGAGGAAGCCACAGTCTGAGGTTCAAAATTAAAGATATTAACAATAACGCATGTGCTTATTTTGAAGATTCATGCGGTTGCACATCTGCGAAATTTTCTTTGGACATTAGCTGAAAAAATACGGTAATTCCGCGAGGCCGTGCTCCGGAACGAAGTACTTAGTATGGCAGAATTTTCAGGGAGTCACACGGACTCCTGCATATGTCAAATCAGGGTGTCCAACAGTAAATCAGGGAGTATTTGACTCCGGACTCCCGTTAATTTTGCACCCTGGTATATAGTAACATGTAACTATAGTATATAAGCGCTGCCACTGGTGCAGGAAATGTGGAGTACATGTGAAATGTGTAGGTGGCAGAGTTGATTATGCAGGTTGTGTGCATTATGCGTAAACATCAGGAGTAGATAATAGGGAGGAGTGTGACATCATAACAACGGGAATTCTTCATTATTACTAGCCCTTTTAATACCTACGATTTATACGCGTAACTCATCAACTCTGAGCTAATCGGACACAGTACATTCGCCATAATCGTACGAAATCGTTTCCTCGTAGACCCGCAATTCCGTAGATACAGCCTAAGTACGACACGTTTCCGATTCTCTGGCTTATCGCACGCCGCATTGCTCCGTATAATTTCAGACAAAAGCAGCAAACCTGGCTGTGTTTGCGTCTCTCCGAGATAGCTGAATGTTGTGCGTTGTGGCTCGCAGGGAGATTGGAGATCGACGCCGAAACACTCGACAGAGCTAATATTTGCCGTTGGCGTGCGCTGTTGCGTGAGGCATGCCAGCTATTTGTACAAAGTGGACCTGTGATAGCTGCAAGAATGACCGGTAGTCAAAAGCGTTATTTTGCGAGTGTGATGCCTTACATCTCCAAGGAGCCAAATAGCCGTCGCTAGTTAGATAGCGCTTGTTAGGTAGCTCCTTTTGCTGATTGAATTATAGCGCGGCATGGGTTGGATTTGATGGCCGCAGAGAATGAGCAGATCGTGCTCGTACGTTATTACGGCTGTACTACGATGCGTCGGCGCGCTGTCTACGAGAACACCGGATTTCGTTACGGATGATGGGCCGAATGTACTGTGTCGATTTGCACGCTCAAGATGGCATGAGTTACGTTAAGTTTAATCGTTAGGGTTTTTATAAGGCTAGTAAATGAACGCAATTTCCTTGGTTATATTTGATGTTTCACACTCCTATCGTCCATATTCTATACTATCGCTGGTAAAATACTTACCAGTACACTTCTTTTTTGCATGATAAGCATGTACGAACTGTATCGACCGTACCAGACATATAATATCATAGGTAGCTGTCTGAAACGACCCGGACCGGGTCGGAAGCGCTGAAACTAAACTAAGCGGCTCACTTCTTCTTGATTGGTCAGTTTCCGAACATATACAGGACATAAATATATAATGGGACAATTTTAATGCAAAAACATGAAGAAATATATGTTAATTCGAAACATAAACAAAAGCATTACAGAAACAAATAAAATGATAACGGAACGAAATAAATGCAAGAAACAATATATTACAAAGAAATACAGAAAGCAGAGGATAATAAAAACATTTTATCTCTATACGGGTTCGAACACAGGTACCTTATATCACGAAGCGAAAAGCTTGACCATTTAGCACTTGAAAACAACTGCGAAATGTGAGGGATATAGACCGTAACCCTAACCTACAAACCTAACCCTAACCCTAACCATAATCCTCAACCCTAACGCTGAGTAACTATCCCTATTCTAAAATAAATGAACAGTGTCATGCACTGTAGTCACCACAAAAAATGACACAAATGATGTGAGTGAGTAAGAAGTCAGTTTTAATGCAGCAACCATCCACGTTACATTATAGAAGGAAGAGTATATATGAGGGGACGCCAGAGAATCTCATTATATACTCTTGATAATGATGTGCTATTTTTTATGTGAAAAATACATGTGCTTGAGATGTGAAAAAGTCTGGAGATGAGGGCGTCCTCAACAACTTCCTCAGTTTCATCCCCAGGTGATCGGGTGTTGACATCAGCCGTAGCATTGATCGCATATTAAGCGCGTTTATATTCAAGACTTTAGGGCACTGCCGTTAATAGCGGAACTCCCGATGCTGTAGCGTGTAGATTGAGAGGATACGACTTTTTCACGTTAGTTGCTATGTACCGACGTGACAATGGTGCCCTTTCCCTGCCCGATAACCACACTCTTTGTTAAAAGGTTAATTCGTTTGCTGGAGTGCTTTTACTTCGGTATTGGTTTCTAGGCCGCGTAGCACGCCGGTTGCCTAATCTTTTAGTATCGCAATAATATTTATGAAACCAAAATGATCCAATTGGCGCCAAGAGACGGTAAATGGCGGTATACCCGCTTCCGCTGTGCGGATAGCGTATTCGAATATAAATAGGTTCATTCGCTGACGGTCTTGCGCGACAATTGTTTTGAAACTGTTACTGCTAATATAAGACGTCTTTATCGGCAGGGGGGACAGGGAATACCAATTTTGCTTTAAAGATATTGTCAATGAAATCTTGTAAAACGAACCAGACGAGTGTGACACCACAGACTGTTTGTTATCTGCGTTTTTTTGCATAAATTGCATAAACCTACCTAATTTGCATAAATGTTTTTTTTAATATCAAAACCCCTAGCCCTTAAATATCAAAATCCGTTGAACCTGAACTGACTATAATGCCAATTCCCATTTTTGCCAAAAAACTTGTCGTGGCTTGAAAGTACGTCGACTGGCGTGCTCCAAAATAGGACGTTTAATATGGGAGCATAGCAGTAACAACTATACCCAATTTCATATATACCCAACTACCCCGAGTTATCGTTGACCGTAGCGAAATGTTGACGGACGGACGGACGACGACCCATGGCAATAGCTCAGCTTGACGATGTCAAGGTGAGCTAATAAAATTAGCCAAAAATAATAAAAAATAAAATAGTTACAAAATTAGCCAATCAGAGAAGAGAGCTGGTTGTTTAGTTTTCAGGATACTGAAACCGGATCCGGTTGTTTAGACACTTCGGAAATGACCGCTGTAATAGAACTAGTGACAGTGTCTAGTACTGCAGATGGGGTCGTTATCGTATCAGGTACTACAGATATGTACCCGAGGTAGTTTTAGGTTGTTTAGTATTATGTTTATATTTGTATATGAGGTATGTTTAGGGTTAGTGTTAGGGTTAGGGTTAGGGCTAGGGTTAGGGTACACTTCTGTAGTACAAGTCTGGTACACTTTGTGTGGCCCAAGGATAGAGAACATGGGTCCCAATAAAACCAATGTGCCTAACCCTAACCCTAATCCTAACCCTAACCCTAACCATAACCCTAACCTAATATATTGATATAATATTATATTTATATTGATGTAAATGACATTGGTTTTATTGGGACCCATGTTCTCTATCCTTGAACCCTTTGGGGCCCACCTACATATATACCCGGCATGTACCTCGAGTACATATCTGTAGTACCTGATACGACAACGACCCCTTCAGCTCTACTCTAGTACTCCACTAGACTGTAGTGTGTACGTACTACAGTAGTGTGTACTACAGTCAGTAGTGTGACTACATGCAGTAGTGCAATGTTAGACCAATAAATAGGCAATACTGAATACATTATGCCCAAGAAACCTTTTATAATCAAATTATAATCATATTATAATCAAATTATACATATTTTAGAGATCTACAGATTATACAGATAGCTTAGAATAACGTCAAATTATACAAAATTCTAGGGCACAGTTCTTATTAGGTATATTACTAATTAGTAATTAGTCACGTTACGTAATCTGTCAACTTACCGAAGTCTATGAACTGTTTGATCGACAGCGGCGAAGGATTGTATTGGGAGAAGAAATCAAGAACTTTCAACGTTTTGCTAACGTCACCTAACAACCTCCGAGTCAATCTCATTGTGGTAATGAAACGTGGGTATAAGAAGAATAGAAAGTATAGTCATATCTCGATCACACAGGTTAACGTACACGACTTCTATCACACGACTGCAACGAATACAGTCAACACGTCTTATAACGAAAAGCTAGACGTGACGTCACATGCCACATGACCCACACACTCTCTATCGATCGCAACCAACCAGAGCATATATATCAACGTGATATAAATCAACGTGATATAAATCAACGTTAAAACGTAACGTTACGTAACGTAAACGTTAAAAACGTAAAAAAACGTGGGCGCAAATACACTTTTCTACCGGTCAATATGGCGGCTCCCGACTCCGAACCCCCTGCCCGCGCCGCTCTCTCTCGGGGGATAGCAACACCCTACACAGCCCAAGCTGTGTACCGCTACAACCGCTACAACNTATAGATATTTTCGCGAATTCAGACTTGACGGAAAATTTTGCGAGTGGTTAATTTCGCGGTCGGTGAATTATGAATTATTATTGGGTATGAATTATTCGCGTGTTGTTATTTTCGCGGTAGGGGACGCATTTGCGAAATTCGCGAAATATACAGCGTAGGGCCTATACAGTAATCAAATGTAGAGAATGAGATTGTGTTTAATTAGTCTTTTTTCGTGTAGTGTATCCTGGACGGTCCTATTTATATACTGACGTATCAATTAGTTGAGCAGATTTCTTGAGCGATGACGAAGAAAAACTAGGTATAAATAATTGAAGTGATTATTATTTAGCATTTCTGTTGTCGCGTTATGTCCATAAGATACATGCTCTTGTTGATGTCACAACTATATAGTATA